TCCAGGTCCTTTTCTTGGCGGGGTCCTGGGGGTTGAACCCAGGGGTGCTCTACCAGCTACATCTCCAGCCCTCTTCTTTTTGGCTTTGACAGGGTCTCATTGAGCTGCTCAGGCTGGCCTTACCTTGGCACCCTCCTGGGGTCACAGGCGTGCCTCCCATGCCTGCTTTCCTTCCCTCTTAACCCATTTCGAGGTCTAGAAGATTGAGGGGAGATTGAGCTGGGGCTGACTTCCATTCCTGAGGAGGCTGATGAGGGTCACTGCACAGTGTGGGGTCACGGCCATCCTCTGTCCCCTCCTGTGACGTTGACAAAGGACAAAGCTGGCAGATGAGGTGCTTGGGGAGGGCAGGGGCACCACAGGGCACCTCTCAGGGTAGATATGTGGCCACCCCTCAACACCTCCTGCCTCTCCCCAGGGCCCCTCCTGCCCAACCCCAATCCCTGGGCCCAGCTGGGGCTCGTGGGCAAGGGACACAGTGCTGAGCTGGGGTAGCCCAGTGATCACTCCCATCTCTGTCTGATGAGGAGGCCAATCCCTGGGCACAACCTTGGAGGCATTTTGCAGATGCTCCTGAGGGCTCACCCTCCCCCAGGCCCCACCCAGCCCGTTGGGCCCCTGGGACCCCTCATGGAGGCCCCAGCCAACATGGGATGACCCGAGTGTTTATTTCAGGTTGTATGTGTGCCCCCTCATCAGGCCCCCAGCCCCCAGGAGGAATCCTGGAACGGGGTGGCTGGCACTGACCGCCAGCTCATAGGGCCACCACCCTGGGCAGCTGCACCGTCTCTGGATTTCATGCTGATGCATAGTTCTGGGGTGAGACACAGCTCTGGACTGTCAATCACATTACAGAGAGCCAGAGGCTATGGAGGGCTCAGGGTGGCCAAGTAGAGGGGCAGCACTCCTGGCACCTGGTCGGGGTGGACAGTTGCCAGCCCATACCCGGCAAGGACACATCAGTTCCAGGCACTGGAGTCTGTCCAGCACTTCCCCGGTCACATGCATACCATGGCCCCCACCTGCAGGTCCTGACGTGGCCTGGCAGCCCCTCAAGCCTCCAGTCCCTCAGTGAAGGGGGCTCACATGGGCCCCATGAAAGATGCAGCAGAGGCCAGATGGGGGCAGGATGGAGAGGGGAGGGACCTCCCAGGCGGTGACCTCTGGGCGGCCTGAGACACTGGGAGGTGTCCTGGCTGGGCTGGCAGGGGAGGCAGAGGGGCCAGAGCGCTGGACAGAGTCCTCAGGCTGCTGGGCACGCAAGGCTGCCTTCCCACTCTTACTGCACTCACCACCCGGTCCACCAGACTTGGAGTCCAGGAGAGCAAAGTCACAGGACGGTACTGTCCAGCCAGGGCCAGTGCCAACCTGGCACCTGCCCCTGATGGCTTGCGGGACGGGGCTCCTCTGGGGCCTGAGCTAGCCTGGAAAAGGCCTGAGTTGGGCTGCCCACTGGCCACAAGCTGCCTTCCTGCTGGTACCATCATCTGTCTGGAATGTAAATGGAAAAACCTGTCTTGGCACATGGGGAGGGGGAAGGCGCCTGTACTGCTTGGGACAACCTCCCCAGTGCCTGCTCCGCGCCCAGAGGATGACAGAGCCCAGGGCCTTCCCCGGGTGGCCCTTCAGGTAGCCAGGCAGGACCCACCTGGCAGGCAGGTGTATGCTCTGGGCAGGAGGAGCTCAGGCTTTTGCAAATGAATCACAGTCATCCACCCTGCCACCCTCCCAGGCCAGGGCCACCTCTCACCCATAAATGCTATTGCCGTAGTCACCCACAATCCAGTAGGTGTCCCCTCAAATTCCTTTTGATGGAGACAATGTCCCAAAGCAGAGAGCTCTGTGGACAAGTAAACAGTGGTATCTACTTGTCGTAGGTGGTACTTCCCAAGAGCTTTATTCCTGGAAAAGTTAGAAGTACAGGGGACTTAGGTGTGTGTGTTTCTTGTTGGTAACTTATGTGACAGGACTCACAGGCCTGGGCAGGTGCCTGGGTAGTGAGAGCTGTACCTCCTTGGCCTGGTGTGTCCCCACTCAGCTGGGCACCTGCTGTTCTCCCCCTGTGGACCCACTTGAGCGACATCTCAAAGCTTGCTCTTGGGGAGAGAGGGTGGGGCCTGGGGCAGTCACAGCCTCGGCTCTGTAGCCCTTGGACTGGGCTGGGCCACTCCCCTGGGAGCTCAGGGTACTTGAAAAAGTTCCATGGGGCCCCCTGGACAGCCTGGGAGAATGGTGTCACCCCTCTGCCAGGGCAGAGGTCATCCAGCCCCTGCAGACCTGCCTGGAGACGGCTGGCCAGAAAAGCCACACACCCAGAAAACTGATCATGTACTGGGTGTCCCCTGCCAGCCAAGGGACCCAGTGACACATTTGTTCATTCACCACCACTGTGGGCCACAGCCTATCAGGCACCTTCCCCTTCCTGATTCTGCTCTGCTCTGAGGCAGTTGGGTGGGGTCAGTGGAGAGAGGGCTGTATCCCATGGCCTGGCAGCATGTCACCTCCCTTCAGTCCAGCCAGTCCCCATGCTGGCCGCTGTTCGAGGTCTTCCTGGGAGCCTTGTGTGCCCCCCACAGCCAGGATCCCCACCATTCACCCGGCTCCAGCCCAAACCTACCACCCTTTCCATCCCAGCTGAGCGTCTCACAAGGGGATTCCCAAGTAGCTTCTGTGCAGAGAAATCCCTTCCCCTAGATGCACCCAAATTACAAGAGGTCCGAGTGCAGGCCAGGACAGGAAGGGTCCTGCCTCAGGGGTGAGTGCCCAGGGCACAGTGGGTCTCTACTGAGGACGCATGAGCCTGCACCCACCCAGCCCCACGGCTGGGATTTGCCGGTTCTGAGGCAGCCCCACACCAGAACCAGGCATCCACCTCTAGGTAGCAGAGCTGCGCCACACCACGCGGGCGAGTCTGAAAGCCGCTAGCTCCCAGACCTTCAGACAGGAGAGAAGATTCTGCCTCGAGGCTGCCAGCCCACAGTCTCCAGAGCCTGCCTTTGCTGTGTGTGTATCCTGCAGGAGACGCGGGTCCTGGGCTGGTTTGTGGTGAGAGTGGCGCCCCTCTGTGGATGGCCTGATCACTGCAGCACACTTCACACAGGGGAGGTGGGCTTCAGACCAACAAGGAGACAGGAGGCCTGATGCTCAGTCCATCTGTGCACACGGACCTGCGTGCTCCCTCGTCCTGACCCTCTCCTGTCTGCCTCAGACCATGAACCCTGGGCAGCCTCAGAGCAGAGGTGGGGCCAGGGGCCTGCACAGTGCCTGCTGGGCTCCACACACTCCTGAGCTGGAGGAGCCTGCATAGATCACCTTCCTGGCTTTGATGGCACCTACTGCCCCTGGGAGCTGGATTCTGGCAGCTCACTGGGACTTGGGTGCCAGGAATGAGGTGGAAAGGGAGTGACCGAGGGTGGGGTCAGGGGGTACTGAGCCGCAGCAAGTTGTGTAGGGTCTTTGTGTGTCTGTGTGTGCCTTGTGGGAGGTATGAGAAGACGGCCAGGTGAGGGCCAGGTGAGGGCCAGGTGAGGGTCAGGTGAAGGCCAGGTAAAGGGCCAGGAGAGGAGCCAGGTGAGGCCAGGTGAGGGCCAGGTAAAGGCCAGGTAAGGGTCAGGTGAGGACCAGGTGAAGGCCAGGTGAGGACCAGGAGAGGAGCCAGGTGAGGGCCAGGTAAAGGCCAGGTAAGGGTCAGGTGAAGGGCCAGGAGAGGAGCCAGGTGAGGGCCAGGTAAAGGCCAGGTGAGGGTCAGGTGAGGAGCCAGGTGAGGACCAGGAGAGGAGCCAGGTGAGGGCCAGGTGAAGGCCAGGTGAAGGGCCAGGTGAGGGTCAGGTGAGGACCAGGAGAGAAGCCAGGTGAGGGTCAGGAGAGGAGCCAGGTGAGGCCAGGTGAAGGCCAGGTGAAGGTCAGGTGAGGGCCAGGTGAAGGCCAGGTGAGGACCAGGTGAAGGCCAGGTGAGGGCCAGGAGAGAAGCCAGGTGAGGGCCAGGTGCCCCCTGTGGGCTGCATTGCACCCTGCGGCCTGCAGAGTGCTTTGTCTCAGCAGGACCCTGTACACCTGCCCGACTCTCCCTGGGGTGGAACGTTGGTGCTCAGCTGACCAGCCGCCACCTCAGTTTCTGCAAGGATGCTGCCTAGTGCTCACCTGCCCTCTCCACTCCTGGGTCTCCCTCCCGCCCTCTCCACACCGAGGGAGCCCTGGATGTGTGCACACTCACAGACATGTGCACATGTGTCTTTCTCTAGGACTCTACTCCTGTCGGGCCTGTGGGGACATCTGGGACGTCTCAGGTGCTCAGAGACCCATGCACGTTCCCTTCCCTGACCTTGGCTGGGAGGGACCAGGCCAGGCCACATCTCAGGCTCATCCCTGTGGTCCCCTGCTCTCCGCTCCAGAAGAGCTTCCAGGTGGGGTCAGGCATGTTGAGGTGCTGTGACTCTCTCCCTGGGCCGTGAGGCCACCCGTGCCCCCAAGAGACCCAACATTTTGGTCATGTCCACCTCAGGGGGTCAGGGGCCATGGACAGCCCCGTGGCTCCAGAAAGTCCCCCCTCTGGGGCACCTTGGCTCTGGAGGGCAGGAGGGTTCCCAGAGAAGTGGGGTCCAGAACAGGGGCCCTCCTGGCCCGCCTGCCCACAGAGCCGTGTTCCTGCGGTCTTCCTGCCACCTGTGGTTCCTCCTCGTGGTTCACTGTTGTGTGGTGCTGTGGCGCCTGGGGCTGGTTCACGAGGTGGCCCAGCCTCCCTGGCCCGGCCCCCCCCACTTCCAGCCAGAGGAGAGCGCGTCCTGCCCCTCCCTGCGGCCCGGGAGGCCACCGGTACACGTCATCCCTGGCACTGCGGGACAGTCCTTTTAGCCACATGTGTGTGTTCCAGCCCCTGACAAGCATCCCCCAGCAGCCAGGCAGCTGCCCCCCCCCCGTGCCGTGGTCCCGGGGGCAGGACCCTCCTCCCTGACCCTCCTCAGCCATTGTGCTGAGGCAGAGGCTGCAGAGCTCCGGCTTTATTGTGCCCAGGGCCAAGCAGGGAAGAGCAGAGGCCAGGAGGGCTGGGGCAGGGGACAGGGAAGAGGTGCCCACGGCCTTCCCAGCCAAGAGGGCAGAAGGGCTGCTCTGGGACCACAAGGCTGGGCATCAGACCCCCGTGGGCCTGGGAGGCAGGCCTGGCTCCAGAGACGTGTGCGGGAGGAGCATCTGCACATGGTGGGGACGTGGCCAGCTCGCTGAGGGCAGCAGCAAGAAACAGAAGAAGGTGGAGGAAGAGCAGCAGAGGCCAGCTGGGAGTGGGCGCTTGGGAAGGGCCGCAGGGCATGACCTGGGCTCTGGGGCCTTCCCTGCCTGGACTCCCTGACCAGTAGGCTCACACAGGGGACTCAGACACAGGCCCCACCAGCGGCCACAGGGGACAGTATGAGGGTCTCCGTGGCCTGTTGGCTGCTGGAGGACAGTGAGTGTCCTGAGTCCCTCTGGAAGTGGACGTGACTGGGCAGGAAGCTGCTGGTGCCCCCATGGCCACTGCTGCCCCTGGAGCGTGGGCGTCCCCGCACGTGCTCGCGGTAGTTCTTGGTGAGCAGCGTGTAGAGGAAGGGGTTGAGGCAGCTGTTGCCGTAGGTGAGGCAGGTGGTCAGGTAGTTGACGAGGCGCGCTGTCCGGGGCGCCAGCGGCAGGGCCTCGTGGTACTGGGAGAGCAGCTGCCACAGCCAGAAGGGCAGGAAGCAGGCCCAGAAGAGCAGGACAACGCTGAGGATGAGGCGGAGCACCCTGGGGTTGGGCAGCCGCCGTGTCTGCCTGCAGGAGGCCAGCTGTGACAGCCAGTAGGCCCGGGCCAGGCGGGCGTAGAGCAGCCCGATGACCAGGCCGGGCCCCACGATGCTGGTCCCAAAGAGCAGTGTCAGGTAGGCTCGGTGTGCACGTGGGCCCCAGGCCGGCAGGCAGAGACTCTTGGGGCCCCTGTGGACCAGCCGGATGGCGAGCATCATGGGCAGGGTCAGTAGCAGTGCCAGCAGCCAGGTGCCCAGCACCAGCAGCTTGCGGTAGCCCTTGGAGCGCTGCGCGGTGTCCAGGGGCCTCAACACTGCAGCATGGCGCTCACTGCTCATGACGGTCAGGGTGAAGATGCTGGCATGCATGGTCAGGAAATCCAGGCTGAAGAGGACGCGGCAGCCCACATCACCAAAGTGCCAGTCCTTGGTGATGTAGGTGGCCACAATGAAGGGGATGCTGAGCAGGTACAGCAGGTCTGCCAGAGCCAGGTTCACCACGTAGGCGTACATGGAGGCCGAGGTGCGCAGGAAGCGGCATGTGACCACCAGCGTGTACACATTGCCCACCATGCCCACCAGACCCATGGCTGAGAGCACTGCCCCGAGGGCCCCCATGGCCACCAGGTCCTGCAAGGAGCCAGGCTCCGTCGGGCTGGTCCAGGAGCTGTTGAGGGACACATTGGGGCCACCAGGTGGCTTGGGCGTGGCACTGCCTGACACAGCCAGCGCAAGGAACGTGGTTGGGGACTCTGGGCTCAGCGCCATCTCTGCCTTCACACTGGGCTCCGGCTGGGACGGCTGTTCCTTGAGGACGGGGTGGGGTGTGTCTGTGGGCAAACGCCGTCCTGTGGGAGAAGTGCCCGTCAAGGTGCAAGGCAGCACTCCCTTCCACGCCCACACGCCCGAGACGGACAGCCTCCACAGGCCACTCAGTCGCAGAGGGACAGGGACTCTATAGAAGAGCCCTTCTGTTTCATCTGTCTCACTGCCCAGGGGGACCTGGGAACTATGTGACCAGCTGTCCCCAGGGAATTCCCCAGAAGGACCCCAGCCCAGGCCTCAATGCCAGCCAAGGCCTCCAGGGCCAACTGAGCTTTTCTGAAAGCAGAGCACAGCAGTCCAGCCCTCAGGGTCAAGGCCAGCGCGGGAGGAGCTGGGGGTCCTGGGGTCCAGCCTGAGACACCTCTCCCTCATTTCACTTCACTTGTACATTTTTAAAAAATGTGTTTTCTTCTAACTACAAAAGCAATATCTGCTGACTTTAAAAGTCCAAATTGAAAGTGAGGTAAAGGGAGAAGACCTTTGCAATCTCCATTTATCAAAGGCGGAAAACAAGCCTGGACCCTCACGCCACACGCAGAGCCACGGATGGCAGACTGAGCCTGGACCCTCACGCCACACGCAGAGCCACGGATGGCAGACTGAGCCTGGACCCTCACGCCACACGCAGAGCCACGGATGGCAGACTGAGCCTGGATCCTCACACCACACGCTGAGCCACGGATGGCAGACTGAACCTGGACCCTCAAGCCACATGCTGAGCCATGGATGGCAGACTGAGCCTGGACCCTCACGCCACACGCTGAGCCACGGATGGCAGACTGAACCTGGACCCTCACACCACATGCACAGCTTTGGATGGCAGATCTATGTGTAAAAGGTTAAATAGATCTATCAGTTGGGCTTCTGGAAGAAAATAGGAGAATATCTCCATGACCTTTGGTGAGAAAAGATTTTTAAAAAATAAAATTCATTTAGAACATTAAGAGGGAGATTGGGGTTGTGGCTCAGCGGTAGAGCGCTCACCTAGCAAATGCAAGGCTCTGGGTTCAATATTCGGCACTACATAAAATAAAGGTATTGTATCCAACTACAACTAAAATATATACATATTTTTTAAAGGAGAGAAGACCCTGAAGGCTGTCCTCCCCCATATCCAGCCCTGTGTTGCCTCTAGATGGCTTCCCTCTTCCCGTCCAGGCTGATGATATTAAGGATAAATTCTGCCTGGTCCTACTCCGAGCGACCCTGAGCTCCTGCTGCAGAAGGGGACCAGACATGTCCAAGTCCCTCCCACCTTCCTTCTCGCAGCTGCCTCTGGTCTGGTGAAGCTGGCCACGATGTCCTCTCCCACAGCTGGACAACTAACCCCCCGGAAATCGCCCAGGCCCCCTGGCTCAGCTGCCCCACCTCTTGGCCAGTGCCCAAGCCCTCTGGGGGTCGCCCACCTTCCCCCCTGGGACTGTTAAAAGAAGGCGAGAAGGGAGCAAGACCCCCAGCCTGACAGTCCCCAAGTAACTGGTGCAGCTGGAGGGTCTTTGGCGGTCTGGGAGGGGCGGTGGCCTGGCAGAACCCGGGCCTAGGGCCCAGGGACAGGACCGCCAGGAAGCCCGCACCAAGTCGGGGGCTTGCACGGGCTCAGGGTCTTCCATCGGTCCCTTGAGGATCAAGACCTGCGTCTCCAGGGACCTGGCCGTCCCTCTGGGCGCCACCAATCCAGCCCCAGGGCAGCAGGAGCTCTCGGAGCGCGCCAGGAGCACCGTGCACCCCGGCCTCCCGCGCTGCACCCACCTGCCGCGGCCCTCGGGTGGTCACGGAGCCATCAGATCTGTCCACCCAGCCTGCGGTCGCTCGGGACAGCCACCTCGCCTGGCGTCTGGTCGCTCCCCACAGTCTCCAACCACTTCGCCGAAAAGTGGGCTCCGGGAACTTCTGCGCTGTCCCCTTGGGGGGCGCGGAGGGGCGGAGGGTCCGCGGCCTCCTGGGCTTCCAGGCAAAGGAGGGAGGTGCCCGCCCTCTCCACGGGGAGAGCGGCGCCGCGCCCGGCCCCTGGCCGCCGCCACCTGCCCGGTCGCCAGCTGGGAATGCGCCGTGGCCGAGCGCCAGCTCGCGGGTATTAATAACCCAGCGCGTCGGCGGGGACTCTGGGGGACCGGAGACGCGGACCGCGGGCGGGTGGCGCTAAGGCCTCAGGGAGGGCCATGTTCCGGGAGGCTCCTGTGCGCGAAGGTCACGGCCAGGTCGGGTGTGGCTGGGCTCAACCCGGGGGCATGGGCAGGTCCGGCCGCCCTGGATCTGTGCGGGTTGGAGAAGCCAGGACGCAGCAGCCACTCACAGCCTCCACTTGCAGCCTCCCGCTGAGTCTTCGTGACCTCGGATTCTCCGCTGTCAATCAGGCTCTGGGGGCGAAGCAACCTGCCACCCCAGGAACCCTCAGCCCCTTCCCAGAAAGCCAGGGTCTTGAAAGAGGCAGGCGTGGGGTGGGGATTGTGGGGTGGTCCAGCCCAGGCGCTGCCCGGGGAGCTTGCAGGGCCGGTGCAGCCCCAGGTGTCAGGTTTGCGGGCTTCTGGGGATTCAGGGGGTCTGCCTGCATCTGACCTGATCTAGTCCTCTACCTGGCCCTCCTGACTCTAGGGTCTTTGTTCACAGCCTTTCACACTTTAGCAGAACCCACGAAGGTGACACACTGGGAAGCGGCAAGGCCTTGGAAGTGGGAGGATGTCACGTTGAAATGAGGCCCCTTTGCCCTGGGCCAACCGCTGGCGCCCACTCTCTATCCTCCTGGGACTCCACCTCTGACTGCAGGCCGGCTGCCAGGGTGTGGGCAGTCGATGGTCAGTTGCTGCCTGTGGGCCTCCAGTGCCTCTCTGCCACAGCAGTCTTCCCTGGCCACCTAGCCCCTCCCTCTCTTCTTAGCTCTCTTCTCCAGGTGCATCCTGAATGTGCTCTCTCCTCTGGGGCTGTCACTTCCACTGCCTGCAGAGCTAAGCGGTACCACTGTCCCTCTGTGTCATCGATATGCAGGTGGCACACTGCCCAGGAGGAGGCTTGAGGAGTGGACTGTGGGGTGGGGGCAGGAGGGGCAGAGGGTGAGGGTGGGACCCTCAAGCCTTGTCATCCTTCACCTGGAGCCATAAACCAAGAGCACCTCTGGGGGCAGCATCCTGGAGGGCTCAAGGGGGGGTTGCGACCAAGGTCGAGGGAAGGCAAGGTGGTACTCATGCTGGGTTGAAGGGACAAGGGAGGGGAACATTATGGCTGAACATTTGGGTGGAGGGCCACACCACACTGTCCCAGCCCACAGGAGCATGTGGACCTGGCTTTCCTGTTCTCAGCTGGATGTAGAGGGCCTGGGGAAGTCCATGCAGTCATCCTCGCTGGACTTAGAGAAGGCTGGCGCCTGCTTCTGAGAGTGGACACAGAGTATCTGCATAGACTCCAAGTCCCAGACTCCTTCCCCTGCCCTAAAGGAGCTGAGAGTCCCCATCTGTCCTGGGAGAAGACCACATGTTCTTAGGACTCACGCCATCTCCTCGGGCCTAAAATGGATCACCAAGGGGCCATGATCACTCTGCAGCCAGTAGTGTTGGCCCCAAGGGGACTGTCATGTGCCCTGCCCTGTCCCTCCAATGTCCCTTTTCAGGTGTCCTGGCTGTGCTCCTGTCTCGGACTGGCCCCTTGCCCTGACATGTCATCTCTAGGACCTTCACAGAAACGAGCTCAACCTAAGGAACACGGCCCAGCGGGGTGCCGCCCAGTGGTGGACCCCCTGGCAGGCCCGAGGCCCGGCCTTGGCTTCAGCCCCTGGTTCTTCAGAGGCAGGTGCTCCACACCGGGTCAAAGAGGACGGGATTTTCTAATAAAAGAGCCCAAGAGTCTTTCTATAACTTTAAAAACACAATGTCTAAGATTAAGAAACCGAACAGAAGAATCAGTTGACTCAAAGGTTGGTCAATAGAACGATGCGAGCTCCGAGAGACAAGGAGAAGAACAGAGACACAGGCAAGCAGGGAGATGGGGCCCCGTCGTCCGGCTGCCTTGCAGGGGAGCCCCAGAGAAGAGGAGAGAAAGGGGGCAGAAGCAGTATCTGAAGTGCGGCTGGGAGCTTCTCAGAACTGTGAACAAGTCGAGAACCTGAGCAAGTCGCAGGCAGGAGAACCACCCGTCTGCTCCTCAGCAGAGACCTGAAGACAGAAGTGGTAGCAAAGCCGTCGGGTTAAAACAGAACTAAACAAGCGGGACAAGGAACCAACGACAGCGGGATTCTCTCCAGAAACCGTGGAGACCTGCAGAGGTCGGCCGACAGCTCTCCGGGGAGCTCCAGGGACTTCCGACCTGGCTCAGAGCACGTGCAGGAGGGACGTCGCTGGGGGTGGCCCAGCTGGGGCTGGGCTGGATTGGGGACTCATGCTGGGGACGCCGCTTTCTGCTTCATGTTTTCCATCCCCAGTGAGCGTGCAGTTCTTCTTCCTCTTTCCCAACACTCCAAAGCATCCTTGACATCAGATATCTCCATGACTCCTTCTCCATCATTTTGTGAATCCACACTCCCGTGGATCGGGGTGAGGGTGGGAGCGGCTCTGCCTATCGCTGTGGCTCCCAGACACTGGGCTTTGGGCTCAGGTGTGTGCTCAGTGTCCTCTCCTGGGAGGAGATTGCAAGTCCCCTCTGCCAGGCCCCAGGAGAGCTCCGTGTGCACAGCCACGGTCCCCAGGCTATTTCTGGGCCTGCTTCTGGGGATGAACTCTGCCTTGTCCCGTGTATTCATCCCTCTTCTGTGGTTGGAGCAGAGAGGGTCACGGCTTGGCCTCTGTTAGGGTTTGAATGTGAGGCCTCCCCCAAAAGCCCATGTGTGAGACAATGAAAGAAAGTCTAGAGGTGAGATGACTGGGTCAAGAGAGCCGTGACCACTCTGTGCATTAACTCCCTGATGGGGAGTGACGGGTGGTGACTGAAGGCAGGAGGGGTGTGGCTGGTGGAGCTGGGTTCCTCGGGTAGGCCCTTGGAGTTTGTGTGTTGGAGCTGAGTTTAGCTTCTTGGTGCCATGTTCCCAACTGGTTTCCTCCATCACATTCTTCCACCATGATGTCCTGCCTCACCTCCAGCCCCAAGGAATGGAGCCAGCCTTCTACGGACTGAGACTTCTGAAGTTGTGAGCTCCCAAATGAACTTTTCCTTAGCAGGATGTAAGATCAACATCCATAAATCAATTGCATTCCTTTACGTCAGTGATGAATCAACTGAAAGAGAAATTACAAAAACCATCCCTTTCAAAATAACCTAAAAATAATAAACATTTGGGGATCAATCTAACAAAAAAGGTGAAAGGCCTCTACAATGAAAAATACAGAACACTAAAGAAAGAAATTGAAGAAGTCCTTAGAAGATGAAAAGGTCTCCCATGTTCTTGAATAGGAAGAATTAATATTGTCACAATGGCCATACTACTAAAAGTGCTATACAGATTTTAATGTGATTCTTATTAAAAGTCCAGTGACATTCTTCGTAGAAAGAGAAAAAGCAGTTATGAAATTCATTTGGAAAAATAAAAGGTCCAGAATAGCAAAGCAACCCTTAGCGAGGAAAGTGAAGCAGGAGGCATCACAATGCCAGGCCTTAAATCATACTACAGAGCTATAGTGACAAAAACTGCGTGGTATTGGCACCAAAACAGACGTGAAGACCAATGGTACAGAATAGAAGACACACATACAAGCCCACATAAGTACAGTTATCTCATACTAGACAAAGGCGCCAAAAACATACTTGGAGAAAAGATAGCCTCTTCAACAAATGGTGCTGGGAAAACTGGAGATCCATGTATAGCAGAATGAAATTTAACTCCCCTCTCTCACCCCAAATTCAGTTCAAAGTGGATTAAGAACCCAGGCATTAGGCCAGAGACCCTGTGCCTACTAGAACAAAAAGTAGGCCCCACTCTCCACCGTGTTGGCTTAGGAACTGACTTCCTCAACAAGACTCCTAAAGCGCAAGAAGCAAAATCAAGAATCAATAAATGGGATGGAATCAAACTAAAAAGCTTCTTCACAGCAAAGGAAACAAGAATGTGAAGAGAGCCCACAGAATGGAAAAAAAAAAACCTTTGCTATTTGCACCTCAGATAGAGCATTGATCTCCAGGATATATAAAGAACTCAAAAAGCTTAATAGCAAAACAAACCCACAAACACAACAACAACAACAAAAACCCAAATAACCAAATCAATAAATGGGCGAAGGATCCAAACAGACACTTCACAGAAGAAGAAATACAATCAGTCCACAAATATATGAAAAAATGTTAAATATCTCTATCAATTAGAGAAATGCAAATTAAAACTACACTGAGGGGGCTAGGGTTGTGGCTCCATGGTAGAGTCTCGCCTATCATATGTGGGGCACTGGGTTCGATCCTAAGCACCTCATAAAAAATGAAATTAAGGTATTTTCCACCTACAACTAAAAAAATAAATATTTTAAAAAAACTATACTGAGATTTCATCTCACACCAGTCAGAATGGCAATTATCAAGAATACAAATAACAATAAATGTTGGTGAGGATGTGGGGAAGAAGGCACACTCACACATTGCTGGTGGGACTGCAAATTGGTACAACTACTCTGGAAAGCAGTATGGAGATTCCTCAGAAAACTTAAAATGGAACCACCATTTGACCCAGCTATCCCACTCCTCAGCATATACCCAAAAGACTTAAAATCAGCATACCACAGTGACGCAGCCACATCAATGTTTATAGCAGCTCAATTCATATATTCCATAGCTAAACTATGGAACCAACCTCAAAGGCCTTTAATAGATAAATGGATAAAGAAAATGTGGTACAGGTACACAATGGAATATTACTCAGCCATAGGGAAGAATAAAACTATGGCATTTGCCGGTAAATGGGTGGAACTGAAGACCATCATGCTGAAGCAGACCAGAGACCCACCCCCCTGCCAGAAGACCCTTACCATACTTAAAGCTATCAGCAA